AACAATGGTTAAATATATATATCTCTCTCCAGATGCAATCTCTTTGTATAATTGATTTATCAACAATCTAAATGGCAAAGAAAAAGAAAAGAGAACAAGAAGTAACCAGATGATTGGATGGCTCGTCAAGCAATATTATGTGTGGCTTCTTGAATGTAATCTTGGAAAAGGCAACTCTGCTTTTCTGACCACCTACATAAATTTTTATGATACGTAAAAATTCCACATGGCATCTAGATTATAGAGTTCAGCTATAATTTCTCAGATAATTTTGACTTGCTTTAATGACCAAGAATAACTTTTGGCTTCTACTTGTAATTTTTAGTTCCTAGCAGCAGAAACTTTCAGACTAGAATGCACTACATGACATCGTGAAGGAAAGATACCGGAGAGCGTGTACATCGGCTGAAGTGCAAGATTTCCAGTTACACCAAATGAACCCAAGTGAGCTCGGAGCTTCTGTTCTGGCACGCCCTGCAAGAAGATATGGTGAATGGATCCGTTTGATCTTTTCCCTTGCAGCAATAGAGGAATCAAACATAAAAATGTGTTTCAATGTCTCTCTAGCAGAGTCGTTCTCCATTCTAAGCCTTGGATTCTTTTGATGACCGTAGGTGTTCAGGTCAAATTTATGGTATCTCAACCAATGTTAGTATACCCCACCTGACCTTACAATATTTGACGTGAGTCGGAGAAAATATGGAAGATATTTTTGGAACAAGATACGAACTTTTTGAAATAATGAAAAGGAAATACAATGTTCCAAGATACAAACTCCCAAAAGAAGTGAAAGTAAACCATAAGAATGATACAAAAGAGAATAAACAAAAGAACAATACAAAATAAAGAAATAACGATCTTTGAAAATGCAGAGGCTTGACCAAGAAACTCGGCAAAAGAAACTTAAACGAATCTTCGAACGGGGAAGAGACGAAAACTTCAAGGACTAAATGACAATCTCCAAGCACCCAATGACAAATAATATGACAAGGGGAAGATATTTAATATTGAAAGTAGTTAGACTGATAGTTTTAACCCTTGACCTCAAAGGTTGTATTTGGGCATATGCACTTCTGTAAATCCATCTAAACATCAATATAGGATGATATTATCATTATTAATTACAAGCATGGTTTACATCAATCAATGAAGATTGAAGATTATTTCACTGTCACTTACAAGCATAGTTTACATTACAAACTAAACGAGTCTAATATCACCAACAGCGAACTTCTGCACTCCAGACAAGGTCGGGCAAATTTATGACTAAGAAATTTGCCAAACAAATTTGTAGTATAACTATTTCTCAACAGGCATTAAAGCAATATCAACAAAGAGACTAAAGGGTGGCAGAGAATGAACCAATTTTCTTTTGTAATCTAGAGAAGGATATCAACAAGGTCGAAGTTCATCAAGAAGTTAAAAACAATACTGAATGTAGAACTGCAGCTTGACTAATTCGTAATCATAACCTTTCATGATAAAAATGTTACTTAAACATCGTGACAGTACAAAAGAAAGACAACAAAAAGAAAATAAGATAGATGTGATGTGACAAGTGAACTCACTGGGAAGCAACGCATCATGTACAGAAGAGGATTTGAAGACAAGTCTAACCCATCAACATGGTGCTGACTAAAGACAGCTATTCGAACCTGTAGACAATCAGTTAGTCAACACATTTCCATGGAACTTAATTTTTTTCATTTCTTTTTTTCTGATAAAACTATATATTACCTTTAACCTCAAAAGATAGAGGCGTCAAAAAGACATTGCTAGAGTGGGAGTGGGGTGCATATAATAAGTAAACAAAAAACAATATACGAAAAATTTATACTTTTAGAGGGAAAGAACAGCCACATAATTTCTAAACATCAAATATGAAAAGATGTACAAAGTTATAAACATTAAAACATACAAAATATCTTAGTTCCCAACTAACATTAAGGGAAAATATCAAAACCCCATTCCATTCTATTAAAATTAACATTGAGGCTCACGTTGGTACTGCTACTGCCAAGAAACTGAGGCATCTGAGTTTAAGGCGGTGGGGGGGGCGCTTGCCATTTTGGATAGCCTCCTTGAGAGAGAAGTACAGCTCTCAAACTCTTTTCTATTGTATTGCTTGCTAGTTTCTGGATATCGAGGCTACACACTTTGGTAGAAAAACTTCAATAAAGGAACATATGGTTCTGATTTTATGTTGGAAGTTTGAAACAAAAAATGAAAGATTTTTACTCCCTCGTGCATTTCAGGCTATAGATGTTTCTGATAGAAGATTCTTTCATAAAAAAAAAATGTTTTTGATAGAAGAATACTCAAGCCTGAAATTGAGTAGACATCAATCAAAAGGTAGGATCTTATCTAGAAGAGTCAGGGACTCATCATGCAATAAAAATCCAGGGCAGGGATAATATTGATATATGACATAGAAGCATCAAATTTACATTTTTCATTAGCATCCAACACTGAACCCCTAGGTAAAAATACCTTAGCTGAACGAAACACAGTTCCAGAGGTCGGTTGAAGTTCCCCTGCAATTAATTTGAGTATGGTTGATTTACCAATGCCATTTGGGCCAACCACTGCACAAAAGGTTGGAAGTCCAAATAAGAGAAGTGGTACAGCTATGATATAGAAAATAGTAAATGATAGAACGAAAAATAACAAGTCAGTGTTTACTAGGCATATAAACAGTAGGAACATGAAATCCAAGACACAAAAGCAGAATTTCTACAGCTTTACATACAAAACAACTCAAAAGAATAAAGCTCCTTTTACATGTGAAACAATCCAGTTACTCATTCCCTTACTTGCTATTCGACTGTCAAGATCAATCCCAAAGTTCAGATTCTTAAACAATATGGGTCCACCTGGATAGCCAAATGATGCATCACTGCAGTGCAGTCATGAACAAGAAACGTTAGAAGAATTAATAACATTACACCATCCCATATCATTAAGCTGCATAAAAACACACAAGCTATATTTCATAAATAAAAAATGTCGGATATTGCACTCATATCATTGAGAAATTATTCAATTTAGTTGATACATTATAGCTATCGAGTACAACATACTTCTATACTGTTTCTTCCTTGATCTCCACCCTTTGTCCTAAGCTGTTTCTTCCTTTCGTGATTAATACGTCTCAGTTTCTTATTAAAAAAAAAAATATATATATATATATATATAGCTATCACTCATATACCATTAGATATTGGGTGAAAAAAAAACTAAGTTTTAGCCTCTAATGTTTAAGTGTTTTTTCCATTTGGTTCCTAATCTTTAAAAGTTCCAATTTATTCTTAATGTATTGAATGTTTTTCAATTAAGTCCTTATTGTCACCAAACATCAAAATTAGTTGATAAAATGACAATTTAATGTGAAAATAATGAGTTAAAAGTGCTCCCTGTATTAATTTGATAAAAGAGACACACTATTGGCCCATAAAATTAAAAACGTACTAACTTTATATGACTGCGTATGTAGTAACTTACTATACCCAAAATTGTTTGTTATTGAAAATTAACCCATTAAAATGTCGGTACACTAATGATTAGCAAACTCATAAAAGTTACAATTTTTAAATTCATATATCTTTGTTCTTCTAATATTTAGTTATTTAAGGGCTTAATGGAGAAAACAATACATGAGGAACAAAATTGAAACTTTCAAAACATTAGGAACTAAATTAAAAAAAACACTTAAACATTTGGGACTAAAACATATATTTGGCCCGAAACAAAAAAATTGGTCTCTTTTGTAGAACATAGATTAGATGGTCCCTAAAATTTCATTCTTATTCTATTTTGGAAGTTCCAAACAATCTATCTTAATCCCTCAACTTTGAATAGATTGCCACTTTAGTCCATATCATTAATATTTTGTAAATCATTTAATACATACCTATTATACGCATGTATTGTGTTTATTTACCTAAGGAGTAGGCGTTTACCGGAACAAGTACTTAAAGCTACATATATAAGGCCATTGGTTAGGTTTTAAAATGGATTCAAATTTATGTAAAATAATTAGTGAAAAATTAATAGTAAGGTAGTTTAGGAGTTATAGAAAAACATTTAAAAGTTTAAGAACCAAAATAAAATTAATGTATTTATTAAATTTTAAATAAAAAATATATTATTTACTATACATTAAAATTGAAATAATTAAAATATGTAACTTATAATAAATTTTTTATATATATAAAAGAAACTACACTGTCATTGAGAGAAATGAAAAATAGATACAAAAACAAGGAGGGCATACAAAAAAAAACAGCCCTACAAAAGGGAGCCCCTAAAGAAACAGGCTCCAGTCCAAAAGGATGAGACCTAACTGATAATTACAAAACGCTTTAGTGATCGAACCCCATAAAGAAGTATTAAACCTAATAAGGTCCCAAACATAATCCACAGATTTCTCCACCCCCCTAAATAATCTATCGTTCCTCTCCAGCCAGATACCCCAAAAAGTAGCCAGAAAACGCCCTTTGTCACGAAAAGGGGGGAATAACAACACTTCATCATCGCCATAAAATCTCTGGAACGGACCCAAACAATCCCAAAACATCTTAAGAAACGAAGCCATAAATCCTGCACGAACTGACAGGTCCACAACAAATGCTCAAGATCTTCTGAAGCATTCCTACACAGAACACACCACTACGGCCAGAACAAAAGGAAGACATCATCTGAATATGATCCAAGGTATTGACTTTTCCAAACAAGACTTGCCACCCAAACAACTTAATCTTCTTTGGAATTTTAATCTTCCAAAGAGAGGTGAACCAAGGGGTCATCGGGGACGACGGGGAGTTCAAGACATGGAAAAAGGAATTACTAGAAAAACCTTTCGAGGGATTGGGGTCCACACCCTCACATCTTCCCACCCAACAGAGAAGGAAACTCCAGACAGCAGATCAAGTAACGCGGAAACCTCTAACGATTCCCGATCAGTCAAAGAATGGGTGAGCCCCAATGAAATGGATGAACCCTCTTCCCCACGACTCAAAACCTCGGCCACAGAAAGGAGCTTCTTATCAAACAGAAAGTATATCCGAGGGAACGCAAGACACAAAGGTTTATCTCCTATCCAAGTATCCTCCCAAAAGTACGTCTTACAACCCTCCCCCAAACTTATAAATAAAATATTCAATTAATATGAATCAATTAGGCATATAAACTAAAATAAACTTACGGAGTATAATAAAGGTATTTTTCTTATAAAAAACAAGGATATTATTAAAATTACATGTGATTTAAATGCTTCCAATGCACAAATACTACAAAACAAACATCTATACAGTTATTCCCAAGCATCCTCATTAAAACTTACAAAATAAACATAGTTATTCAAAGATGTTGAACGTAGTGGGTTAGCCTAGTGGTCAATGAAGCCAATGAGAAAATAAGTGACTTAGAGAGAATGAATTCAAATCATGTAGTGACCACTTACCTAAGATTTAATATCTTACAGTTTCTGTGGCAATCAAATGTAGTAGGGTCATGCAGTTGTTCCGTTAAATTAATCTCGTTAAATGAATCGAGATGCACTAAGCTGACCCGAATACTCACAAATATTAAAAAATAATAATAATAATAAAATGTTGAACATCAAAGTTCCCAACATCTAGTAATGTTGGGTACTCAAAACTCCAACAAACAAACCGCCCCTTATTGATATCCTCTTCTAAAATCTTTTGAACAAATGAGATACAGGAGGGGGAATATGTTCAATCGCATTTCAAGGATTGTGTCTAAAAAAAGTAACTCCAACAATTAATGCAATCACATTTTTTAAAATTTTCTAGTTCAACTATCAATTGTTAAAGGAAAAATAACATGATTGTTAAGAATTTCAAACACTCTAGGCAACTCTCTAATGATAACCGAATTGCTTAGGCTTTTAGCATTGAGGTGTGGTTTCGTTTTCCATTTAAGCACATGGGGCTTCCATAACGTGTTCTTGTGCTGGACTCAGAGTAAAGCTGAAGCCAACACATAAGGACCATCCAGAAATAATCAAAACCTAATTGCTTATAGCTTTAGAGTTGGTGCTAATTAAACAAGAATAATAAAAGACTATAGTTAAACAATGCCACCACTTAACAAATAAAACGTAAAAGGTCAATATTATGCAGCAACTGTCTGACCTGAAACTTATTATTGGTGGACCTGGCCTGTCGTCTGGAGTTGGGAACTCAAATTTGTAGCTGGAATCCAAAAAGTCAGTTACATTATGATTAGGACCAGAATAAAGAAAATGGTATTTGATGCTCTGGTAAGTTGATCACTAAAAGAAATTAGTACATACTCGGGATCGTTTATAACTTCATCCACATGACCAATTCGCTCCAGAGCCTGAGAGAGATTAGTGTTTGAGGCTTTAGAGCGTGACTCATAAGATGTTGAATCATAATCGACTTCAGTATACCATTAGAACACCTCAAAAGTTTGAAATGCTAAACTATATTGATATTACTCAATGCATAATAATTCAATTTCATAGATCAAGAACCTAAATATCAAAGCAGTTGACCTCACATTAAACCTTTCAAATACAACTGCAGTACCTTGATCCTTGATTGAACAAGAGAGGCCCTCTTTGCATTGTATCGGAACTTATCAATAAACGACTGCAGTGTGAAAAATACATCCAGGAATTAGAAAAGATCAATATCATTCTAAAAACAACCAGCAAAGCAAAGAGACAGAACATCTTGCAAATAAGGAAAAAATTAATTTTATTTAGTAAGAAGGTCACAACAGAGAGTAAATAATGTCAAGAAAAGTTCATAATTCACATAACATTTCTGGAAGATCGTCACCCAAGGTACCATGCCCTAGTCTTTGAAAACAATGTCAAGTCAAGCTGACAAGGTGAAGAATAAGTGGAATTGGAAAAAGCAAGTACATTAGCAGATAGACCCAAGTAAATGAAGCATTATAGCAACGTTGTTCATTTAATTCTAACAGCCTCTATTTTGCTCACGAAATAGAGCAGACATACATGAAACATTTAAATATCTAACACATCTAGCAAAAAAAATAGCCAGATCACGAAAATCATATTGAAAAGTTCAAGAGGTGAGCAAGTGCAATGAACAAAATATGGGCCCACAGATGAAAACACTATCAAGCAAAGCAAGGCAAGTCTCGCTTATGAAGACCAGCATAATAGCATCCAAGCCAGACTTCTAACTTATAAGTGGTGAGCAAGAAGTTCGTTCATATGCAGCATGATGTGGTATAGTGAAAATAAGCAGATACTTAAACACATAATCATGATAATTAATGTAGCTGTCAATTGTCTGGGTACAACCTGCATATGGGATCGTGTACGTTCATTTGCCTCAAATGCTTTTTGTTGGTTCTTAAGTTGTTCTTCTCTTGTCCTCTCAAACGTATCATAGTTACCTTTGTAGGTTGTTAATTTTTGCCCTTGAAGATGAAGGATATCAGTGACTACCTGAGAAAACGTTAGTTGGTTAACTGAAAGAGGTAATGTTGAAATCACACAAAGTAGTATTTAGGAAGAGGTCTAAAGCAAGAAACAAAGTAAATAAATAACTTTACCGTGTTCAGAAATTCTCTAGCATGAGAAACAACGATGAATGTTTTAGGCCATTTCACAAGGTAGGATTCCAACCAGAGAACAGCATGAAGATCAAGATGGTTCTGTGAAAGGAAAAGATGATAAAATGATTAAAACATTAGACAGAGGCCACATAAAAGATACAAATTATAGGGGGGGAATCCACATAAAAAATTTGCACCACATACTGTTGGTTCATCAAGTAGTAACAAATCAGGCTCTATGAACAATGCACGTGCAAGAGCAATACGCATTCTCCAACCTCCTGAAAAGGTTTTTGTTGCCTTCCGCTGCATTTCTGAGGAGAAACTCAAGCCCTGAAAAAATTTCAATAGAAGCATCAATTATGATAAATAGGTTAATAACATTTATATTAACTTTATTCTCTTTTTACAAACAGTATATCAGAATCCATGATATTATTTTCTACAGTGAATTTCAATGGGCAGATTGACATATACATTTTTCACGCAGAGTACAAGGAAGCAACTAAGTCAAAGACAGGAAGGCAATATATAACTGGAACATGGAAGGCAAAAGAATTAGGAAGACACGAAATTCAAGTTTTATATGGTAACCACCGACGCGAGGGAAACTTTAAACAAAAAAAGCCCATAGGCCAAGCTTAGAACAACTGCTTCAATTAGAATTAATTACAGAAGGGCTATAGTCACAGGCCAAGTTGGATAGGGAGCACCAAGAAGAAGCATGGAACCTAGAAAGAGGCCAGACATAACCCAATCTCTGCAACTATTGTTGAAAACCCTTCAGTTTCATTTCAATCAAATCTCCGAAATAGTAGCCTATAATCGCATTGGTGCGCAAAACCTTTTCTTTGGATTTAAAACAGATGCTGCACAAGAGCTGATCTATGCACTCAACCAAGGAGGAGAAGAGGTCCAATTAATGCAGAATTCTATGAAAAAGGCATACCATGGAATATGGATCATGGCTAAATAAGCAATCTAAAAAGCGGCAATTATGCATGGGAAGTTGATGGAATATTATAAAATGCTACACACAAATCCCTCCCTTTTGATTCTTTTTTTTATAGAGTTACCGTTTTAGCTCTTGATTGGTGTAAATGTTTCTATCCATCCTTCAATAGCTACTCTCTAAACGACCTTATCACTAATTGGAAGGCGTTCTCGTAATTGCCCTTGGGGCCTTTTGTATATAAAAAATGCTACACACAATAATAACAGAACTTAAATCCACAAAGGCAAATGTCTTGAACTCACCGCAAGAATGGAAGCAGCACGTGCCTCTGCTGAATAAGCATCAATAAACTCAAGTCTTTTGTATATCTCTTCAAGCCTTTGCGCAATGCCATCTTTGTCAGTAGCTGCATTGCTTTTTCCATCCTCAGACTCAAATTCTCTCTTCAAACAATAGAACTCAATTAGATCAGCATGTTGCATATGGATGGAACCACACAAGGGAATAACACAGTAAGGCTAAGCAAAAATAGAAAAACTCCTATTCAAAGGGATATTTATCTAACCTGTTGGGCTAGAAGATGCGCTTCCTCTCGCAAAAGTTGGGTCCTCTCAATATCCGAGTTTAAAACACACTGCAACGCTGAAGTATCATCACCAACAACTTCCTGCTCTACATGTAATATCTGGCAGTTCTTAGGAATGCCATCAATGGCATGCATAGCCATGTACCTAAGAAAAGTTGTCTTCCCCGTACCATTTCTTCCAATAAGACCTGCACACGGAGGCAATGTATTGCAAACTACAAATAATATCCTCCAATATAGTTACTAATTAAGAATGTTTCAGTGTATACGTGCACATAATGTTTATATGCTCATCTTTCTGTTTCCCTAAGAAGATAGATGACTTCATTGAGGAAGTTTTTGGTGGTTTGCTGCTCAAAGGAAAGTCTTACATTCTATGGAATTGTGGCGCTAGAGCTCTCCTTTGGCTACTTTGGAAGGAACGGAACTACAGACTTTTTGAAGAGAAAGAGGCTTCTCTAGAGGTTTTTTGTGAGAATATTAAACACACTGCTTCTTGGTGGGCTTCGATCCACAAGAAG